AAACATCCACTCACGGAGGAGCTTACCAATATATTGAACGGCTAGCAATTCCACCCCAGTGCTATCCCAATGCGTGATACTCCATCCGGCCGCCACCACCAGAGAGCCTTGGTGATCCCGGATAACAATCCCGATTCCACCAGCGTTGGATCGGCGCAAGGCCCCATCCAAATTAATTTTCAGCCAGCCTGAAGGGGGGGACACCATGACGACGAAGAAGCCAATCCGACGGATTGAATGGTGAACCGTTGCTCCAGGCGTTTTGAAAACAAAGTTGCTGAGATGGATTCCAGGATGTTGGTGGCCAAGACCGAAATTGAGCGCCTATCCATACCATGTATGATAGCATTCCTATTGTTCCAGCATTGAAAAACAGCACCACAGTACAGAAGACCCCAACGATTACCGGCCATGGAGCAATTCTTTAAAGCAGCCTGGAGCGCCGACAGGGAGGCGAACTTGGGCGTGGAGAAGCCCCAGCCGTCCAGGCACAATAACACCTCATGGAGTTGCCGGCACCGAGTTGTGACATGATCCAGGTCCTCCCTGAGACCACAGTCGACCGGGCAGATGACGTCCGCGCTTAGCCCACGTCGATTGAGCCAGGAAGTGGTCGGAATTAAGTCTTTATAAACTCGCCACCAAAAAATATGCTCATGTGGTCGTAACCCAAGGGAGAGGATTGTGCACACCGGATCCTCCTCCCCCAGGAACGAGAATTTATAACAGGTGGACGAGATGGAGGAGCCAAGCGGGCTATGGCTCAATTCCAAGGAATCGGCAGTAAGATTGGATCAGATTTTGATGGTGCATATAATGTCGGTCAAAGAGACCCCAAAGCATTGCAGCAGTTTGGTTCTGTTCCATCCCCCAGCCGTGAGAAAATCTTCCACCACAAGGCCATCAATAAGTTCAATATACAAAATGAGCATATACATGAAAAGGTTGGAGTAGCTCTATTTGAAGATAAGATTAGAGAGAGTCGACTTAAATGGTTTGATCACATTAAACGGAGGCCTTCTGATCAGTGGCAGAGCCAGAAAATGTATTTAGGGGGGGGCCTAAATTAATGTTTTTTAATTTTACTTCAACTTTTTACATCCAGACTTGGGACCAATATAGACAGTTTTAAAAATGATAAAACTTTGATAGTGAATTAATTTATTTTTTTCCTTCACAAAATGACTTTCAATCATCAAATCACTTGATTAGTGCTAGAATGAGTTCAATATATTAACTAAATACGTGATATTAAAAATCTCATTGCACAAAAATAAATCATAAAATCTCTTCAAGATCAAATCAATACAGGATGAAACTAATATCTACCAAGAAAAAAATGTAAATGAATAGGAAATGAAATTGGGAGTGATTTGAATGGACGGCAGATGTTAAATCTCTTGATCATGGACCATTTATTGGACATTTAAATGTCTTAGTGATATTAGATTTCGACGATCTTGGGCTCGTTGGATTTGTCTCATCTAGCCACTCAATTCGGCTATAAGCATGTCATGTTTGGAAACCATTTGGTAATCCAAATTATGGTTTAAACCTTCCAAATATGCTTCGAGTATTTGATTTGGAGTCAGTTGGGTTCGGATTGAGTCAAATTTGGTGTCGTTGGATTCGCATTTTTTAAGGTGTTCAGTTCAATTTTAAGTTTGCTGAAATTGGAGTTCAAATGGTCTCCGTTTGAATTTTTAAAGTTTCCAACTTAATTTTATCTCTAGATTCCCTATTTTTTAAATTATTTTTTTAGGTGGGGGGGGGGGGTTTTTTTTTTGGGGGGGGGGGGGGGGGGGCATGTAACCCCCCTTGCCCCCCTCTTCCCTTCGCCCATGCTTCCGATGACCCAGTTAGGAAAGTTGAGGTATCAGATTTGACTTATGTTATGAAAGATAGAGGTAAACCTAAAAAGGCTTGGTTAGAAAATATTAGAAATGATCTTTCTTTATTATATTTAAACGAGAATTTAACTTTTAATTGGACACAATAGAGAAACAGGATTCATATAGCCGACCCAACATAGTGGGACAAAGGCTTGTTGTTGTTGTTGTACTAGAGTTAACTTATTTCCATGCTAAATGAGAAAAATAATGTTTCCTACATGCTAAATGAGAAAACCTGATTACTTATTTCCATGCCTAGAAAAATAATGTTTTCTATTTATTTTCCCATTATTTGTTCTTGCTATTTTTCTTTTTTCATCAAATGGCGGGTCACTCCTTCCATCTTTGGTTCACTAATTGGGCCATATATCCTCTATATAAACTTCCTTTGGCTTTCACATTGGAATTTGAATTACGAGTCGTTCTTGTCTATGTGCTTCACTAAAACTTCTAGGATAGATTACATAAAGATATTGGTTACTGTGGCTAAAATAAATACCATAAGGATATTATCTTTGGCAAACAATCTTATTTAGAGATTAGACCAACTGGATGTCAAGACTACCTTCCTTAATGGGAACCGTGATGAGGATGTATTCATGGATTTGGTTTACAAAATAGAAATGTAACTAAAAGACCACTAGGATTAAAGCAGTTAACTAAAGCTTTGTTTGTCTGCTCCATATAAACCATAAAGAGGCATGGATATAGTCGAGGATAAACTGATCATGCCCTGTTCATCAAGATGCAAACTCAAATAACTAATTATAATTTAAAATTTAAAATGATTGATCTAACGCACATATTTTGTGTTCGACTATTAATTCTGAGTTTCTTGCCAATATTTATGCTCATCTACTTCTTTTTATTAGCTTAGAAGATGTTTTGCTCATATGAGAAAATAAAATAAAATAATTATCACTGGATGCTCATTAGTCACAGGCGCTTTGTAGCATCAGAACAGTCTAGTTTGATGAGCTTATTCTCTTACTTTGGCTTCATCTGTATATTATAGTGATGCAATTAATTCGTTAATAATGATGGAAAAATACTAAACAACTCAATATTCAGAGTCTTGGTAACTGTAAAAGACTGCATTTCTAAATAAAACATTATATGAGCAAGTAATAGTAAGTTAAATTTAAGGAATGAAATAAATTATAATATTGGGTGGATAGAGAGTGGGTGATTATTGGAAAAGAAAGGGGGGGGGGGGGGGGGGGAGAGAGAGAGAGAGAGAGAGGGGGGGGGGGAGGAGAGAGAGAGAGAGAGAGAGAGAGAGAGAGAGAGCAGAAGAGGCCAAGCAATGGAAATTTGTTGGGATTATAGGAGCATAAATGCGCCTACCTAAAAAAAACATAAATCTAAATTTTTTATTGCGCATGCCCTCTCTGTATTCTTTCATTACTCTGTCAACTAAATCTGTTATTGGGGTATTTGATTATTTCCTTTTCAAGATAAATAAGTAGCATAAAAAGATTTTGCCATTGGTCTCTATACATTTCCAGTAATAGTCTTGATACAAAAACGCTTAATAATAGTCTATTTTGACATAGTTGCATTGATTCTCTAATATTGATGCTTTATTTTTTGCTTATATTGTATATCCACACCCATAACGTCATTGTATGATATATATTTGATTCCTATATGATTACCATGATTCTTAGTTTCTTTTTTGCTTTTAAATACTAGTACCAAATAATTTTTTGCCAATCATTTGGGACATTCCAATCTTTAAGATTTCATTAAAATGTTGCAACCAAGGTACTCAAACATCTTCCCTTAAATCTTAATATCTATCTCATCCAAACCTATAGATTAAAGTATTAAACTTTATGAGTTTTCTTCGAAGCTAACTTAACTTCATGGTTATAGATCAATTTATAGTAAACTGCATGATTCTACTGGTTTTCACAACTTTCCTGCTAAATTCGTTGCAAAACTTCTGGTTTCTTTATGATCACGAGTCTCAATAATTTTTTTTGGGCCTTTTTGAAGTAACATTTCTTTGCCTTAACCTTTTATACCTACTCACTCCACCATCAACTTTCTGAAGTTATAAAAACATATGGTAAAATATAGGCTGCATATGCGTGACATGACTTAATAAAACTGTAAATAGCCATTAAAAATAAAGAGGCATTTGTCTGTTGGTACAATATGTTCTCTAATAATGGCTATAAAAATCTTTCAAAGAAAAAAAAAAAAGGCTATTAATTTGAACATTCTCCCAAAGCTATCTATATACAAGGAATTTTGGTGTAATTCCTTGGTTCTTAAAAGCTAGTTTTAATTTGCTTTAGTTGGGCTTTAAATAATGCTCTCAGAAATTTTTTGAAGATGTTCATTTGAGACTTAATTCTCTGTAGGTTGCTTAAATTTTTTAGTTTGAAGATTACGTTTCCACTTTACTACGCTTTTAATATCAAAATCCTTTGCTTTCTGAAGTCCCAAGTGCGGTTAAGCTCATCACATTCTCTAAATTGTTAAGTCTTTTTTTCTTTCCATGCTATTACAGATTTTTTTTTTTTGTTTGCTGTTGCACTTTTTCTCTCATCAAATTTCTCCATCAAGACGTGACTCCAATTTGCTGTGTTCAGTTTTCTTTTTATTTCTTGTTTGTTAAGATTGGTATGGTTATATTCTCATTATATTCTATATAAAGCATATATTTAATTGCGTACTAATCTTTAATCATGCATTTTCAATTGAATGATTTGTTATATTTTGCAGCAAAATTTTCCCTATATTGTATTTGTAATTATCTTAATCAAATTCCTTCCATGTAAATCAATTTGACCTAATAATTTATTTTCTAAATTTATATATTTTTTTAGGGTTCAAACCTTTTTTTTCCGTTTATGCCATTGATTTTCAGATATTAAGAAATGAGATGAATGGAGCTTATTCTTCGACACTTTTGGTTGGAGAAAGCGGTTACTATTTTGTTAATTTTATTTTATGTATTTTGGTGAAACGTTGCTTTATAAATCCATATACTACTTAATCTGCTGCTGGAATGTTTTCTAATTATGCAATGGAAGTCTACCTTCTATCAAAGCTATTCGTCCTGCATAGCAATAAAATGAATTCTTATTTTTTCAGGGCTGTTGGTTTTGCCACTTTACTCTGGGCTTTCACGATCAGATCAGGTTGGTTGTCACTGATATCATGAGTGAATACAATTATGAAATCATAATCGAACTCATGTTGATTTGCTTCTGTTATATTTTTCTCCAAAGGACCTCATATTTTCTCAGACTCCAAAGGGAAAGAGGAAAGTTGTTATATCTACCAATATTGCTGAGACATCACTTACATTAGAGGTGATTTGGGTGCAAGTAACTTAATACCATGAATCATTTCATTTGTCATTATAACAACTAATTTAAACTTTCATTTTTCTAACTTGATGCAGGGGGTGGTTTATGTTGTGGACAGTGGGTTCTCAAAGCAGCGCTTTTATAACCCTGTATATTCCTTGACTATTTTTCAGTTCTTTTTTCCATTTACAGTAGTTTCGTTATGTTAAAATGTTTGCAAGCATTATATGTGATTATAGGAGATTTCTATCTTAAATCAGAACTACTATGTCGTTAGTTCATTTACGAGAAGGTTGTTGGCCCTGTTGGTTCTCAATATTACATGGTTAAGAAACGCGTTTCATAGGTCTTTAGCATAATGGGTACTAAATTTTGCATTTTGAAGGTTTTCAAACTCCAATTTTATTTTATTTTATTCTCTGTCAGCTTTCTTTTCTCAGTTTCAACTATTTCCATTCAGATTTTTTTAATCAGTCATCTTGCCCAAATTTTCTTGTGTCTAGATCTCTGACATTGAAAACTTGGTGGTGGCGCCAATTTCGAAAGCTTCTGCAAAACAACGAGCTGGAAGAGCTGGAAGACTACGAGCTGGAAAGTGCTTTAGGTGTGCTCCAGTAGCTTGTCATAACATCATCATTATTTTCATTAGCCTTATCATCACTATGTGCTGATTTCATCTTCATTTTTCATTCACTTTTGTTGGGGTTTGCTTGTGATGTTAAACCTGTTTTGTTCAGATCTTTTTGTATGACTTCTATCCATGTTGCCTTTCATTTACCCCCTTTTCACCCCTTTTTTCTTTATAATTTATCAATGAAATTATCTACCCGTCTTGAGTATATTTTCTACCCTTTGTTATAAATGTACAAATTACATAAGCATATTATTTTTATAATACACTTATGATAAAAAAATTCCAAAATGTTAGAAAATCCATTACAACATATGATTTGTGTGGGACCTTACATTGCAAAATAGGTTTCACAAAATGGTTGGTCACAAATAAAATTGACAACAAAAAATTATTACCCTACACAACTCTTGTGATAAACAATTCCTTACATTTAATTTTTTTTTTAAAATTAATTTTGAAAAATGAGAATTTTTTTTCACCATACGTAGTGACTGACTTCTATCAAAAGATTTCAACGATGAATGCAAACTAAATTTTGAATTAAAAAAATAGTCTTACGCAAATTTTGTGACAAACAATTCATCACCCTTCATTTATTTTGGAAGACTCAATATTATGAAATGAGCAAAATAATTTGTGATGGTACATGATTCAGGTAGTCATCACAAAATCTTTTTGCAACGATTGCCACTTTCACCGCTGTCTAATATTATCCTTGTCAAGACATGGTTCTCTTGTAATCTTTTATTATTTTTCGTTGAATAATGCTTCATCACAAGGTTAATTTGTAGAACTTGTAGCTATACGTATCTTTAAGTGGAATTCAATATTTGTTGTGAAACTATGAAGAGGCCTTACGTTAGAGTATTCCATATCCATGTTCATATGCATGAGCAAACTAATCATTTATTCCTGCTTCACGGTGTATTAGATACTCACAGTTACCCCATACCCAACGCATAAGGGGGAGGAGGTGATCAAGTGATGACGTGGAGTGGGAGGAGGATTGCTAATGGGGGCTGGAGTGGATGGGGATTAGTACTTTGCATCCTTGCAGTGTTGACCGTCAAAGATAGTTGCTGTGATATCGTTGTGGTCCTTTGTTGGTAATGAGAGGATTCCTTAGGGGAAGAGGAAATGCCGCACTAGGAGATAGCTAGGTGTCAAGAGCAGAAATTAGATTAAGCCTGTTAAGGCATAAAGTTTGTATTATATATGAATGTATGTATGCATAAATTAACTTATCCTTGTGGCGCGTTCTAGTTTCAATATTTGTAGAAATACACCATTTTTTAATTTGGGTTACCTTTTGTACTTTACTAATTTGTAAAAAAAGCACACACTTAACACTTTATTCCTTATAGTAGTTTTGTAACCACCCCCACTCCCCCGGACACATTTATATATATTATATGTATATACGACAGTGGATGGTACTTTAAAAACCAAACATAAGTTCCTATTTTGTCTGATAAAATAATCATATACCCTAGTTGTTTTGGTCGTATTTAATACCCTATTGGAAAAGGATAATCTCCATCTCTTTCCATTAAATAAGCTTGAAGTAAATGCATGGTTAAATTAACATGATTTTTCTTCTCACGTGGTTTAGTAATTTATATTAATGTCCTCTCTGTGTATATATATTGTTAAGTTCTATGATGCACCGACGCTTCTCCTCAAAGATCCGTACAGTATCTGACATGGCATGCGTCCGACTCACTTCCGACACGTGTCGGACATGTCGAAAATGTGTCATATTAAAAAAATATTAAATATAAATTGTACACATGTGTCTTAAATATTTTATAATTTTTTAAATATAATTTATTGTATTTAAAATTTTTATTGATTTAAAATATAAAACTAAATTTCTTATTTTGTATCCACAACACCAAATCAATGGCCCGCACTCAATATCCCATTCATGGAATATTCTCATTTTCATTTCATTTTTTGTGGGTTGCGACTTTGGATTCACAACAGTGCCTGATTCATCTCAACATTGGTTTCTAACTTCATTACTACATTGACATTTCAAAACCATCTCAGCATCAAAGTCTCACACTATTTTGACCTTGATGCTTGACGCTAACAATTTCTACACCCACAACATAACATCTCACCTTTGTTCGGCATCGTCTTAACATCGACAACAGTCGCTCTCTTGACATCAACACCTAATATTTACTGCATAACATCGATGCCCGACTCGGCAGCATTGTCGTCTTTTCTCTCGATACCTGATACACGACATCGACGCGTGATTCTCGACTTCCTAATATTAATCATTTTAAGCATAAATTCTAGTTAAATGACTTATTATTACTAAATTATTTTAATATTATACTTATTCAATTTTTATATACTTTTTAAAATATAAAAAATTATAATACCGTGTCCAATTTGTATCCTATATTTTTAATAATTGTTGTGTCCCATGTCCGTTTCGTATCTGTGTCGCCATGTTTGTGTCTATGCATCATAGGTTAAGTTAATTGGATCCTGGTTTCATCAAGTCGTTTGATAGGGACAATTTGTCAGAATGATTATTTAGATTTTATTTTTGATTAAACGATTAGTTGTTAGCGAATAAAAGTTCAGGAGTATATACACTGGTTGATAATATACTAAGTCAAGATTGCAGTTTCTATTGATGCAATACAAAATCAAAATTTTATCTTTTGAAGAAGAGTGAAATTTCCTTCTTATACACTGTATAGAAGTACTTAGTTTGAATTTTCTAGAGTTATAAAGTTGACCATTAACTTTAAAGTCATGACACGTGCAATGGCTTTATGCCTTGTTTTTTGGTAAACTAATTGGGACCTTGTCCATCTTCTAAATATAGGTTTGGATGTGTGTCATTTTTGACATAAAAAATATCCACTTCTGCAAGTAGAATTTTGTTTCATCCAAATCTGCCTACCAAGATCTCAGAAAAGGTTGAGAGATGGGACGGGCTAAGGAAGCCCGCTTGATAACTGAAGGTGGAACAACTGATAAATCACTCAACTTTGACATGGAATGGCTGACATTTGCCATTCGGTCATTGATCACTAGGTTATTAACATTATTCTGGCCACATTGATTCATTTCATTGATGAAACTCACTCCAAATAAATGGAATGATAATTCTGTAGCTCTATATTTCACTGTAACTCGATGAGTTCGTGGAAAAACTAACTTACGTTATCCCTTTTTGTAATCCTTCATGCGTGGACCCGTTTTGGTAGTCATGGTAGTTTTGTAGTTTTGTATGTTGTTTACTTTGGAAAATGCTTGATAGTTTTTGTGGAGAACTACACCATTTTAATTGGATTGCTCGGTCTCTTTAAACTGAGATATTAAAAGAACCTTATCTTCCCAAGTCACATGAGAAATTGTAGTTCTCATTCCTAATTAAGCATGTGGTTAGCTATATGAGATCATTCTTAATCTATAATTTTCATAATGCGTTATTGGTTCTACCAGGTTATATACTGAAGATTATTTTGTCAAAGAAATGCCTGCAGAAGGAATTCCTGAAATGCAAAGGTCAAATCTTGTTTCTTCTGTAATACAAGTATGTTTTTTTTTTTTCCAGAATATCAATTGTTTCATCGTTCATAAATGCCGTTCTACTTTAATATTACTTTTTTGAAGTAATTGGATGTTTTGAATGATACCTTTTTGCTTTGGTTGTTGGAAAAATATTTTGCTTTCAAGAAATTGAATACTCGAACATGATACCTCCTTAGATGTCTGACAAAGTGCATATGTTCCGGTTCCCAAGAACTTGTAAGTGTTACTGATCCAAGAAAAATTTCCCCTCAAAGCAAGCAAACGTCCCAGTTTGAGATTTGTTGTTTATTTTTAAGATGCAGTATCTGTTAGTTGCGCATCGCTTTTTTGGTTTTTTATCTTTTATATGTTTGATATATTTTCTCTTAGAGACAAAATACGAAATGAGCATATACGTAAAAAAGTTGGAGTAGCTTTAGTGGAAGATAAGATTAGAGAGAGTCGCCTTAGATGATTTGGTCACATAAAATGGCTGCCTTCCGATTACCCGGTTATGAAAATAGATATATTAGATTTGGCTTGTGTTAAAGAAAGGTAGGGGTAGACCTAAAAAGACTTGGTTTGAAAATATTAGAAATGACCTTTATTTATTAGATTTAAATAATAATTTGATTGTTAACATGACACAATGGAGCAAAAAGGATTCTTAAAGCTGACCCCATATAGTGGGAGAAAGACTTGATGTTGTTGTTGTAGTATATTTTCTTTTAGTTTTTAAGCATGCTTATATGAAAATTTGACATGCACCTATTTAAAGGTACCGTCCAGTTCATGGAACAACATAAATGAATTTACATATTTTCAAACTCTAAGGATTTGTCATTCTTTAGTTTGGTTTGAATCGATCATTATTTCCCACAGTTGTTTCAGTACCTCTTCGAGCCTATTGTTGCTCAGATTGCTGATTTGTGTTTAATTCTAATTACATACCTGAATACTGTTTGAATAGTTGTTATTTGAATGATTTATAATTGTGCAACTTATGTAGTTTTCTGATTTGTGTTTAATTCTAATTACATACCTGAATACCTCGTGCATTGTTGTGTTAGGTGGTGTCAGTGCTCCACCGCTTCATCTTATTGCATTAAGTTTAGTAACGACCCAATTTTTTAATGCTTTTAAGCCAATTATTATCTCCTTAATCCCTTTATGTTTCAATATTTCATAAACACTTCATATTTCCTATGTGCATATTTACTGCTTTTCCTCTTCTTGAAAGCAATTAAAACCATTTTATTTCATAGTCTATCAATCTCCATATATTTGAAGAGACAAAAAAAATCGAAGATAGACAAAAATACTTATGTGACTGAAGGAATAAAAAAAAAGAAAGAGAAAGAAAAGAGTCAGAAAAAATATATAGGTATCAAGAAAACATCGCCATCATAATCTTGGGTTAATCTTATTTATGTGAATGGTCTGTGATATGTTGATTCATTTTTTCATGTCTTGTAACCTTCTGACCTTTGACTTATATTTTACTTTTTGAATCCTTTCATATCAATTATGCCTACCAGTCATGCACTTTTTTTGCCTTTCGATATATATTCTCAATTAATAAGTTTATTTCCAACAACTTTTCTTCAATAGCATCTGTTCACACCACCCCTCTAACATACTTTTTATTTATTTCTTTTTTCATTTTTTTTTCACCCCTCTAACATACTTATGTCTCATTATGATTCATAATTATAACACTCATTCAACTTAATATTTTTTTTTTCATATTTGACTTTGTTGCAAAGGACTTCTTTTTTGCAAAATATTGAATCCATATACTATCTAGATGTTAGAGAAATTTTGTAATCCTTCATGGATTGGGATATTTTGTGATTGAGCATGACATAAAAATAATATATTATTCCGAAGGAAGAAAATATTATTTCGCTGTGGACTCAATAACAAAACTCACAATTTATATTTTTAACAAAGATTTTCTCTTATTTAATGTTTGGTTTAATATGGTTTATTTTATTCTAGGGTACGGATGACCCTTAGGGGCAAGCTTTTATGATTAATTACATCTCAGGCATTTGTTATATGAGAACACTTTTGATTAAACTAGTGATTTTTTTAGTCATCAAAATATTGGCTAATATTTTTATTTTTTAATTTGAGAAATTCTTATTCAAAGATTTGGTTTTTAGGAATTTCAAGATAGATGTGATCAATTTTAAATCAGATTTTTGGAATAAAAGGCAAAGGAGGAGAATGTAGGAGTACTTGATTCTGAGAAAATTCTAACGTACTCATACTATCCTATGTTGGCTTTTACATTTTAAAATTATTATCTTTTTGTTTAAGTTAATAAATTTGATTTAAAGGTTAGAATTTATATTCTAGCAACACACATTGAAGAAATTGCCCGAAATGTGAGGGCTTATGAAGTGACTGGAGTCAACAATAATCTCAGATCCAAGAGCTAAAGTAAATACTACTGAGGAGCTGTGTCTCAAATCTAACGGAGTACAAGAAACTTACAAACTTACACCTCACATGAGATATAAGCTAACTCATCCTCTAGATTTACAACCTTGTCTAGAAAGGGCTACCAATTAAATCCATCTAAGCGCTTTTAAAATCATGAGGTCTGATCTCAATGTATATGAAGATTAGAGAGACTATTTTGGTTTAGAAGATAGGCCTTACAATTTGAATTTTAGGCCTAATTGCCTGGTCATGTGGTTATGTTGAGTCTAGTGAATAGGTTGTTAAACCTAAGTTAATGTCCCAAGGCTATAAAGAGGGGGGGTGAATTGGTAGTTTAAAAATTATCCCTCTTTTTAATCTTTTGAACCGAAAGTAAACTTTAATGAAATTTTTTATAAAAAGTTTTTTTTTTAACCACAACTGTTTAAACAAAAAAAATACAGAAAATAAATAGCAGTAAAAATAAACGACACAAGATTTATAGTGGTTCGGTCTAAATCAGACCTACATCCACTCCCCGG